CAAGGATGAAAATGGATGAAGACCTCTTTATGAAGAATGGGCAAACTACAGCCACTCCCAGATTAAGTTCACAAAGGGTTATGTCTGCTGGGAAGGTAAGTGATATTCCCTGAACAAGTAATGGTGAAAGGTAATTAGAAGCCAACAATCAAAATATAGAGGTTTTTTCAAACATTGCATTAATGCTTATAGGACATCAGCTTCTATCCTCAGTTAGGACCCTTGTTCATTCACTGGGATGGATCCATCCTCAGTTGGGACCATACTGAAAACTTTCATTTTTCCAAAAGTATGCATAATTAAATGGAAACTTTGCTCGTTGGAGTAATTGTTCGCTTTATGACTCTCACCTTACATAATTTCATTATTCATTGTTTTAGTTACAGAACTAAATAAAACTGCTGTGTGATAGTAGCAAGCATTTTCAACTGGCATAACACATTGTAAATTTAAGCACAAGTTCCTACACTATATAAATGGGGCCACTTACAGTAGCATTTACTCCATTAATAATTCATCCCCTGGAATTTATCAATTCCTGATTTTTTTTTTTACTTAACCTAAGGAGATACAAGGATCTTTGATTGTTTATTGAAGATATTATTGTTCAAAGAATTTAGTACAAAGCACTGGTTAATACCAGCACGCAGATGGGATTTGAAACACTGCATTACAAAGTGCATATTTTTTAAGTAAAATGTACTGAATCAGAGACACAGTTTGAGTTCCTAGGCCACATGCATTTCCTAAAGGCCAGACTTTCAAAAATTATTACCAAATTGAAATCTTTAAGAACTTATTCCATGTATAAAATTAAGGATTGGGATTCTTTCCCATAGTAAGAAGTAATGTATGACTCATGTATATTTTAATGCAGTGCTAAATTACAACTAGGACAAGTATTTAGAGTAAGTAACCATAATGTTTCTGCTCATTACTTTTGCTTAGAGAGGTCTAGGCTTTCCTAACATGTAGAGAAACATCAAAAGATTTAACTATTTTAGAGGACCATATAATATATACAAATGAAATGAACTCAAATGGTGTTTATCAGAGAAATGAGCAGAAGGACAATTGCCAACCAAGCATTTGATAATTTGACATTTGGATATAGTTAAAATTGCAATCTTAATGTAGAGAATATATAAGGAACGAAGTAACAAGGAACTTTTTAAAAGGCTCCAATAAACTTTCACTCTGACTTGTGGACAAGTGGAATATTTCTATTTGTAAGACGACTTGCTGGTGGCAGCACACAGACATATTCAGGGATGCCCCTATTTTTCTCTCACACTCTTCTCCATTCATTACTGTCTATTATTTTCTAGCTGAGAACTAGTCAACTGAAATTCCACTCACTAGTAAAGAGGAGCCATTTTTGTAAGTTCAAATGAATGTCAACTGCTTGCAATATAGATAAAACTATACAAAATGGATTTATCTAACTAAACCCTTCTCTTCCCTACTCAAAATCCAGTGAGGGAAGTTCTAGAATTATAAAACAATTAATTGCTTATAAACACTGACCAGCTGATATTACTGTTACTGTGGAAAGAGCTGTGGTAATCAGCTCTTCTCTTACTTTCACTTTGGTATAAATAAAAATTGGCCCAAGTGGTTGATAAGAAGAAATTACCAAAATTTATATTCAAACTGCTAGTCTAAATTTAAATATTTATTAAAGGAATATAATAAGATCTAAAAAAAGGAAAAGCAAAAACTTGAAAAAC